TCTCAGGCCAACAGATGAAAAATTTCATTACTACGAAAGAGAGAGAAAGAAAGAGAGAGAGAGAAATGGACGTTACAAGTTGATGGAACATTTTTCTATCAAATGAAATAAAATTTTGAAAATAATGTTCATGTACTGACTAAAATCACTTTGAATTTTATAAGATAATTACACTTTATATCGTATAATTCGTAAACGTATAAACGATCTTCATCGAAAAATTCTGTGATCTATAATTTAAACATTTAAATTAAAATTAATCAAAAACTTCTATTTACAATTCCTTCCATTTTTTCCTTCTTCCCCATTTATAAAACTTCGTTGAAACAAATTACTACTAATTAACCAATATCATTCCACGACATACATTCTCAACGAGGTGTTTCTCATTATCCTTCAAAAGCATGGAACCGAAACGAAATGAAATTCCTCGCCTCGAAAAAAAGTCCAAGTTACAACAAATAATAAAAGAAGAAGAAGAAGAAGAAGAAGAAGAAAAAAGATGGAACCGCTTTGACAGACATTCGGAAATTAAGTCGCCAGTTTCGCGACTTAACAGAGCGCGATCCGGTCACAAAGGCTGCGTACCAACCCCCGTGTCGAAATGACTGTTATGCGGCCCGTTGAATGAAGCCAGGGGTTGCAGCCACAAATTACTAATTACACAGTTGGCCCCTTAGGGAATGCGGTGTCGAGCTCGTGCAATGTATGACGTACGGCCGCGAGACGACACGCGTACTCTGATACAATACGTAACGTATACGGGCGGGGATACGGGGTCGACGAGACCACCCCTTTGTGTCACGTTATACGGCCGGCCTTTGAGTATTCTTGAATCCGACTCGTGAAACTCGATGGCCGGGCAAAAGCTGTTGTGCAACGTGTCTTTCGAGCGGATAAGCGTCGTAAAAGTGTTTAAAAGAAGAGGGGGGGAAAAAAGAAGAAGAAAAAAAAGAAGGTAGAAAAAAGACCGTTTACGTACTTTCACCCCGTGAAGAGAGTTAACGAACGCGTAAAAACTATTTTCTAGTCGAAGTTGCTCGAAGATTTTATAGTTCCACTTCTTATTTTTTGGATAAATATTTCAACGGTGGTCGTAATTCAAAGGAGCCCCCCTCCCCTCGACGTTCGTCGTCTCCCCTGTTTCGAGAGACCGCCACTACCCACCCTCCGACTTTCCAATAAAAAAGGAACTCGAGGGAAGCGAGAGCACAGATATGAAATTGCATACAGGCTCGCGAGTATCATAACACGCTCCTTTTACTCGTTACTCGAAGGGACGCCAATTGAACCGACAACAACCAATCGTTTCCCCGAACCGGCAAAAAACACGGCGTATCCCGGGGCGAGATGTCGAGAGGCGACATCTTTTGCGAGGGAGGGTGAGTCGTCGAAAAATGTAGTGCAAGGGTCGAAAGCTCGGCGTCACGTTCCGCAGTGCGCGGCTCCACTCGAGCTTCTTCTTTACTGGTTAAGCTCGCCGACTCGCCTCTAAATCGAATAAAAGTCGGATAGTCCCGGGCTTCCGCCTTATTTACGAGAGGATGGAGCGATAGAGACAGGGGGAGGAGGAGGAAAAAGGAAGGGAAGAAAAGCGAAATGGAACGTTTCGATCGTGGAGTAAGAGACTGGGGTGAGGATGGTGGAGAGAGTGTGTACACGATATTGGATAAAACGGGGCGATCATCGAGTTATCGTTATCCTCGATTCATGGATCATCGTGGAATTCAATGGCGTGTCCGGCGTGCCACGTTCCAAAGAGGAATCTTTCATGGGTTGGTGTCGTTTGGACGGGAAATTGATTGGCCGATACGGTTGCAGCGTATCTCGCGTGCTGGAATAACGCGACGAAACTCGCGTATGCAAAGAGGAATCGTTTTAGGTTGTCTTTTTAGACAACGGTTATTTATGTATAAGATTTTTATATCCGGGTTAATTGTTAATGGATCGATCGTTCTTTTACAATTTCTTGTTGATCCGTTTATAATTCGAACGTGTAATATCTGGAACATCGAGCAAGATACGAAAGATTTATTATAAATTTTATCTTAATTTCAATTCCTTTTCCATCCAATATTTCTTCTGAATCTGAATTGCTTTCTAATCGAAACTTTCGAAATCATTTTTCGCGTCTTGTTATTGGCCAACGGAAGATAAAAATTTGACAAGTAATTGAAAAAAGTAAGTAGATCGGACAAAATTACAAAATTTACAAACTAAATTTTAGAAACTCGAAATATATTCTGCGCATAATCAAACAGATTAAAACTAACTAGATTACTTTTTTTGTATTAAAAAATGATAAAAATCGTGACTGAAATCCCATAACGAAAAAACGTTCACTCCTTTATCAAATTTCAAACTGCCGAACGTGCATAAAAATACTCGTTAAAACGAATTAACTCTCCTTCCTTTATCCTCAAATTCGCGTATCATAAAAATTTTCCAATCCAAAACATTCACATCCCCCCGATTCCAATCACAACTCACGTCATTAAACAACCTCCCCTCGAGGGCCTCCCTTCCGACAAACAAAAATCCTCCACGAAGAAACGGACCTTCTCCTCCTCCTCCACCCAACACCACGACGGCCAAACAACCCGGGCTATTCCCCTGCGTGCCTCCTGTCGAAATTTATTCCGGCGAATTGAATGTTCCGCAACCGCTCCTCGAAACCGGTATTTGGCGCGGTGGCGCGCGAGAAACGTGCTCCACCGGCGGGTAAACAGCGCGGCAACAATCGAAACGCGGCACGGTTACGATTCCCGGATAATTTACACGGGGGTTTCGAGGGGTGGGCGCAGGCGCGCGCGTGTTCGAGCTCTACACGCCACCCAACTCTTCGAAATCGTCAAACTCTTGAAAAGCGTTTTATTAGCTCTGGGTAAACGCCTCGGGCGGTGACTTTAAGCGACGAGACTCGGACCCGCGTGGAATATTTACACGCGTTACACACGTTTCTCTCCTTGCGTGGCAGAAAGAAAGAGAGAAAGAGAGAGATATCAGAGGGGATAGATAGAGAGGGGGTGAGTTATGGCATTGGCGGGTCTGCATTGTGCCTGTTCCGTCGGCATTATCACGAAGTGCCGCTTCGAAGTCTTCCGTGTATTTGTGCTACGCTCGGGCCAAGAGTCCCGTGGAAACAATTAATCTAGCCCTCTGATTACTCCTCCTGACTACTGAAACATCCACCCCTCCCAAACGACTGAGCTTCCGCCGCCTCGCCGACGACTTCAGACGTCAAAACTCGAGATATTAATATGTTCTCCCGGATGGCAGAACGAAGACCGACTCTTACCCGACACGCTCCCCCGATGATTAAATTAATTGTTGCCCTGTCCATTCAACCAGATACTTTCTTCTCTGAATCGCGTCCACGGGGGTCAATCTACCGATCGAGTGGAGATGCGAGTAGAATTTTTTAATATTTTAATTGGATAATGTGTTGGAGATTTTTCAACGATATTATGTAATTCAATAGAATTTCTTAAGGGATTAAATAATTATTCGTCGCATCGACCAATCGTCTGCCCTCAAAATTATGTTTGTTATCTAATGATCTGTCCGAGTAATTTCTCCTGTATATCATAATTATCTCAAATCTAACTTGCTTTCAATTGTTTTACGAAATTATATGATTATTCGTAACAATAATTCCCACTTATTACGACTGTAATTATTGATACGAGAGTGAAGGAATTTCAGCTTAATCTGGTAAATTTAATTAGCTTTAAACTAAAACTAAAGCTTAACCTAACGAAGAAAGGTGACACGTTACATTATAGGCTAACTATAAATTAAATCCTTTTTTACTCGCTCGGAATGAGATTATTAAAAGCATCTCTTGTCAGTGTGTCTAGTCCTCACCGCAAACAAGCAGATATTTAACTCGCCTGATCATGTTTAAAGTATTTCTCTGCTATTTCTGATAGTTTTCCGAGCATTAAAATAATTATTTCTAATATTTTACATTTAAAAAGCAGAGAGATTTGAATCTCATCATTTATTTATGAAAAATTGTAGATTCAAGAATGTTATTTTACAGTTCACTTTAAACATAGAATATATATTACGAAATAATCTTTTCGTGGATTTTTAAAATTTTATTTTCGGCAAAAAGGAATGATAATGTCGTATAATTCTTTTGTATACTTGTGACTCTATACCTTATTTAAAGTGCATTTAATTCACGTGAAAATATGTGAACAAGTCTATTTTACAAATAAAAGGCTTTTTATTATTGGAACCGTGATCATTAATTAAAACTCGAGACAGAAAATGAGCAGAGAGAATAATTACAATGTTCGATATGAAAATTACAGAACAAACAAAGTGAAAAGTGATATCGTGAATTACTGAACGAGTTCTGAGGGACATTCTGTGTATTTGCAAATCTATCGAATATAACGTGAACGAACTCGAATCGAATGAAGTATGTATGCAGTTATTTTAACATGAATAGGATAGTTCAAAGGCAAAATCCATTATAGTAGTTTGATAACTTATTTCGACCAATAATTTGAAACACGCATTATGTTATATATAAGAGAATAACTTAAATAAAATGTAGTATATAATTTTAAAACATGATCTTCCTATAAATTAATGTAATTATAATATGTAATTATATCAAGATACATGTATAATATTTTATTTAGTGATATTTTTGATTGAAAATGACTCTCATTATAAACAATTATATTAACTACATCAGTTTTTCTTATAATTAATTACTCTAATTCTTTATTACAACGATATGATCTTCTATATAATTGATATTAAATTAACAAACTAAAATTGTTTCGATATGTGTGCAAATATAGATCAAAGAAGAACATTTATCTTTAATAATTTCAATACTTCCTTAACTCTACTTTATTTCTTCCATAAATCTCCCAATATTCATAAAACGAGGGACAAAAATTTTACACAAATTTTCAAGTCATTTTCATTCATAAATATTCCAATTTTGAATATTCGTAAAACAATAAATTACTCACCTACTACGTGCAGATAGCCATACTGGGTTTTCGCGGTTGCCGTATTAATCTGACACATGTACTTTCCCTTGTCATCCTCCCGAACATCTTTGATATGTAGGAACCAGGTCCTATGCTTATCATGGGTCACGGATATCCTAGGGTTCCTGGTAATAACGTGACTTTGTACTGTCAGGATGGCGCTCTTGTCGAAAAGCATCCAGGCCACCTGAAACGAAACAGGAATCCCGTTATGCCATAAACAGGATTTACGGTCTCGCATCGATTATCATAAAATTGCAATTCCTATCGAAACATCGTTAACGTCACGGGACTCATTTGTCGAGATATGATATAACCCGTGTTGTTATTGGAGATATCCAACAAAGAAATGGAAAATATTTTTGATTATATCGAATATATTGAATACAAATTGGGAAATATTATATAAAATTATTTTGTATTTGAAGGACAAGAATGTTGAAAAATAATTTGGAAAATTTGTACAAGCATATGCATTTAATTCTGACACACCCTTTGGATCATTTTTGGATCTAATTGTTAGTACGAAAAGAATAAATTATTATAGAATTATTATATATAATATATCTGTATCTTTCCATTTCAATGTTAAAATTCTTTCTGAAATTGTTAAAGAAGTTTCTGTGATTTGAAATATAAAAATTGTTGAACGATGTTAACAAAGACAATATGTATAATATATTTCTATTGTTGGATATACTTAATTGCTGTCAATCTAATCGAAATAATAAAACTATTGGATATAATTGTTGGTAAGAGTAATGAAGTAAATCCAAAGTACTCGATATATTGCTAATGATTGACATTTGACAACTGCCAATTCATTTACCAACTATCTCGTACAAATTCCCTCTAATCCTCTTCTAGTTACCTCCTTAATGCCCTTCTCTAAGAAGCAAGTATAACTATGTCTATCTAATGCTCGAACGTGGATGAAACTTTACTAACGATAAGTAATTCCCAACCCTTTATGCTCCACGCAAACACATCGATTCCAATTAACGTTAATTAATTTCTCTATTGAAGTTGGCAAACTATTCAATCTGTTTTGTTTTTGAAAATCAAATATATCAACATTCTATGGTAAATGATATGGATGGAAATTTTTATTCGTTGATCTTTCAACTCTGAATCTTTGTAATTTCAATCGTTGTTTTTTTTGAATTTTCCTAGAATGGTAATCATCCACTATTCTACTTTTCCAAAACGATTTTGACTTAGTTATTTGATATTGTAATTATAAGAAGAACAATCTGTAATCTAATCGATTCATAATTTATTCTTAATATTCTCTTGATATCACATAATTGATGGTTTTTTTTTATTATAAAAATAACAATCTATATATTTGAAACAATATTGTAAACATGAAAATTCGATTCATATAAATAACAAAGAAATACAAAAACTTTATACCTCTGTAATTACTTTTAAGATATTATCTTGTGACCAAGAAATACACCAGATATATTGTATTTCCTAAAGGTAATTTATATGTACATTAAAAAGTTAAATTAACTTTTAAAGTTAATTTGCTGAAGAAGAAAAGTATCATATTCCAAGCTTACAATTAAACCCACAGTTTTTCCAATTTAAAACTACTTAAAATTAGACATGGAAAATTAATCTTCACAAACTTGTTTCGAAGTTAATTCACAAGAGAAGAGAAAACAGCATTTCAATTCAATTTTATTTCACCTTGATATTTTTATGTTTTACAACCATGAATCTAATTTCATAATTATAGCGAGCAAAATATTTATATTTATTTTAAAAATCACAACATAAACACATTACATTATGCAGATTGCAACATGATTTAAATTTAATTTTATTATAAATGCAATATGAATGACGAGACAACTCATACGATATTTTAAATTATGTTCTACAACCATAAATATAATTCCAATAAATATAGAATCTTACATACACAAATTACAATTCCTAATTTTTTAAAAAAATTTACACTACAATATAATTAAACCAAGTGGAATATTAAAAAAATTTTCAATATACTAATCTTATAAAACATAAATAACAAAGAGTAAAAATTAATAAATACAGCACGAAAGATACAACGAAAAGGAAATGGAACTTGGAGTCAAAGGAAACAATACGAGTACACTTTCAAAATTTCATCGGAATTCGATAGGATTCATTTATCGCCGACGGCCAGTCTGTAAGAAACTGATTGAATTCCGATCACGAGGGCCCATTCGCGGACTGATCAATACAGAAGAAAGAAAAGAAAGCGGATGACGGACACGGCGAGGAGAGAACGATCCGTTGAAAGGAGAAAAGTTATCGCGCAAGAACGGGAAAAGAGGAATCTTTCTGAAGATCGTCCCTGGAGAAATAAGAAGACCTGTTTCGCGCGTGTACGCGACGTTGTTAACTTCCGGTATTCTCGCAACGCCATCTTCTTACGACAGAAAAATAGGCTGATATGCTTTTACGCTGCGACACCCTCGCGATAAGTCTTCGCTAACCGGTTCAGTCTTTACGATCAGAAATAAAAGAATGAGAAGAGGAAGAAATAAAGGACGAATAGTAGTTTAACTGGCGTTTAACTTTGTTTAATCTTTCCTCTGGATAAGTTAATGCTTCTTCTTTTCTGTTTTGTCTACCTTGTGAAGAAGCGATGGATAGAAATCGTAAAACTTGTGATTTTTTTTAATTAGTTATTCATTGTAAGAAATTTAATTTATAAAATTGTTATTTAAAGAAACGTAAAGGGAAATAATTTTAAGAGATTGTACGAAAGTGTTGATATTGGACAAGAACTTTTCTATCTAATCAAATCATATAGTTGCGAACTTTGTAATTAAAATGGATCAATTAATAGCTTGGAAAATTGGACGCGTGTTCGGATATATTGAGTTTTTAATTCCTTAAATTTTCTCTTGACCGTGCAAAGCTTCAATCGTTTCTCGTAGAAAAGCCGCTATGCTTGCACACAAAGTTACAGTTCAATTTTCTCCAACTTTCGATGAAACTCTGCCGAGTTTCACAACGAAACGTGAATCAAATTACGCGATGATAAATTTGCGGATAACGATAATTTAACCGAAAGGTTGTGTTCGACTGCTTTTATTATTTAATTAGAGTAAAAATATTACTATAAACAATTTCAAATTTGATAATAAAAATATAACTTCTTTAAAATTAATTTAATATCGCTGTATACTAATTATTCTTTTGAAAACAAATCTTATTGGTTATATAAATGATGAAATTTAAGATTTCATCCCAAAAAATAAAATGATTTTTATTACATAAAAAATTCTGAGATTTCTTATACAATCACAGTTTTTACATAATGTGAATAAAAATCTTTTCAATCTTTTCTAAATATTGATTAAATCTTTATCTTCTATCAGAATAGAAATCCTTATTCTACCAGAAACTTATCTTATCCATTAAACTTCTACAGCGATTCAAAAAGGAACAATCGGGATTATCTCTTCACGATCAATAAAGCTTAACATAAAGCAACTTCTGACCGATTGACTAAGTCGGTTGACCTCAAATCGTGTAAAACGAAATTTCAATCAAGTGGAAGCAACCTTTGAACAGTTTCCAACTCGAAACTATTGTCTATCTTTGATGAAACAATCTTAACTGTAGTTGATAGTGTGAACAGTATACAATTGTATTTTGCAAGTAATTGCAACAGTAAAATGCTTTCAATTTAATAGTATTACAACTATTAAATTTATTTGTAAATAGCGTATTAAATTTTTTGAATGAGAAATTATTATTAAATATTAAATATATAAAAAAAAGATTTCTTCTTGTGACAAAAAGTCACAATTAATATAATATATGAATAATACAATTCATAAAAGAATTCTAAATAATATTTATATTATATATTTTAATACAATAATTATTTTAAATATTAATTATATTTGAAGATAATATATAGAGTTACATAATGATCTGCTTATAAATTTTATAAATATAATCGTAACCAGCACCAACATTAATATACATGATGACAATCTGGCTTTTTATCTACGTTTTACTTATTCAACGACAAAATTTTCACTTCCATTTATTCAAGCCGAATGTCACCATAACAGAGGTTATGTTTCTTCTACGATTCGCGTCGAGACACCCGGCGTCAAAGCAATTGCGCATTTACCCACGAAAAATCTACCCAGCATTTTCCTCTAGACATAGACGAACAACGGGTGTTTGTCTTTTGAAGAAACAATATTCTGATCGATATTAAGTATTTCAATTTTCTAGATCGCACGAAAGCACGTTACTGTGTTCCAGTGTTAATACGAAATGAGAATTTTTGAGACAAAAAACGTCAAAGTGCATACGCTTTTATAAAAAAAAAACTTGAAATATATCTTTCAAATATAATTACACGACGCATAATTGGTTTTTTTTAAATAATTTGTGTAAAATTAGCTGTACCTGTCTCATTTTGGCGGGAATCTGAGGCGTCCACCTAACAATCTAGAAAATCTAATACTAAAACAACTAACAATAATCGAATTTTGTTTGTTTCTGCTTACCAATAATAAGTAGCTGCATTTTCTTTTCTTCTTGCATTGAAAACTTCTATAAATTTTCGATAATCGTGAGCAATCGTTCTATTGCGTCTCATTTTCGTTGGTTATGTTTCACAGCTCACACCGAATAACACTGAATCACTGATAAATTTGATGTTATTGAAATAATATTATTCGCACTGATGATTATTCCAACGTTTATTTATTTCACATTATTCAATTCACACACGGTTTGCCTTTATAAAGTGAAAATGCGAACGAATTTTTCACTGCGTGCACGTACCGCGTAACGTATGGTGTTCTAATGGCGTCGATTTATTGGCGCGAAACGATGCGCAATGCGCAATTATTAATTAATACCGCGTTCACCTAAGAGGTGGCGCGTAAGTGGCAGCAATATGGTGAGAAAATTAACGTAATAAATTAAAAATAAAATTATATAATTTTTTAATAATTTCTCATTCTTTTCAACGTATATATACACATATATACATGAAAATTGATGAAAAAAAATAATTTACGAAATCTGCAATGAGTTTAATTCATGAAAAAGAAAAAATTGAATTATATTAAAAAATATATACTGTCTAATGAGAGAATATATATAATATATACATACATATATAATACATATATAATATATACATATATGTAT